TACTGATTGAGGGTGATGTGAATCATACGCTAAGTTTTGATCGGTGTGCGTGGGCTTTCTGTATACGCTGGTGGTGAGGCGGCCGTCAGGTTCTCTAAAAACTGCGGTGTTTAGGAAGGACAGTTTGTTGTCTTTCTCTGTCTCCATGGTGAAGCGGATGGAAGGCTGCTGGTTGTTTAGATGCGGTAGATCTCAGTTAGTACGACCAAAAGATGCTGTCGACCCGGCTAAACAAGATGGTGTGGTTTACAGGATTCCCTGTGAATGCGGAAAGGTGTACATCGGAGAGACTGGAAGACCTATGCAAGACAGAATTAAGGAGTACGATCGAGATATTCGACTCGCCCGTACCGAGACCTCCGCCGTTTCAGAGCATGCCCACAACACCGGACACAAGCCACTCTGGAACGAAGTAAAGTGAAGTAAAGTTTACTGATCGTGACCCTTATTACTACGCGCGCAGGGTCAGAGGGGCAATTCACATAAGACTTCACCCTAACAACATCAACAGGGATAGTGGAATAGAAATCCCAGAGGCGTGGATGCCCACAATCAATAAACACAACAACAGGAGAGCCGTGCGACAGCGGACCGCCGAGGGAGCAAATCACTGAATGAACAGCAAGGATCGAAATGCACCAATCAGAGCTGTTGAAAAAAAACAACTAATCACAGCAGAGCATCATGCTTTATAAGATCACGCATGACCAGTCGACCTCAGCGCCTGAAGAAGACTAGCAGTATGCGGTCGAAACGTCGCGATCTACATCACACGTGACTACATCGTGAGACAAACGAAAATACCTAGCTTTTATTGTTATTCACTACGATGAATAACCATAGCCGTTTCGACGAAAATATCAAAGATATCCGTTACTTAGTCAGTGCACACACCTCCGTTTAAAAAAGAATTACTGGAACACTCACTGGCATCTGTGTATGTTTATACTGGGTTTATTTCTAAGATGATGTATGGCGGAAGGGAGATTGTGACACAAAGAAAACCGTAAAAAGACGAATTTAAGAGAAATTTGAAAAACTCATGAACGTGGCTTCCTCCTGTAGCCTCTTCGTTCTACTCACTTGTTTCACAGCGCGCCCCTGTGTATCCAACGGAACAAGCACAAACATATGCATCAATCTGGTCATTGCATTCCGTCGTTTAGATAGAGTATAGGATTACTGGAACATTCATTGATGTCTGTGTAAACACAATGAATTTAAGGTCAGTAAATTTGGTAATTTTTTACTTGGAGATGCGAAGAGAAACAGAATTTCATTTAAGATGATTAACACTTGAAAGTTAATCAGTCCAGTGACGACGTTGTTTAGGGTTTCAAACAACCCGTGGAAAACTTTGGGTGAGACTCCAGAAAATGTGGCAACAGAGACTGATATAACTGAAAATAAATGAATAACATTGAAGTTAGGGACAAGAAACAGCGTCTGACGACCATACCTGTGTCACATCGCACGCCTACGAATCCATGTAAGCTTACGGTAGCAAAATTGTTTTGGTCGCCGTTCAAGATCAAGGCTCCCACCACATGTCGTCAGCAATTGACGCCCTTAAGAGACTGGGCGCCAAAAACGCTGTGCAGGTGCAGTTACGAGAATCATTAGCTCTGGCGGCAAGGTACGCAGGAGACACAAAACCATCGTGGATAACACAAAAACACGCCAGCAGGGGAAAAGGCCCTAGTGAATTTACATTAACGATTTCTTTGCCAGCAGGTAAGTTGAGACAGTTATTGCCCTTCATGCCACCTCAGTGAGTCGGAGAGGTAGAGAGAGCATCTTCCATTAAATGCCTTGTTCTGCTTTAAATTTCTGCCATCTTTCATAAGAAATAAACAAAGTGCGAGCGATGTTCTCAATTTACATAACAAAATAGCGAAATAAATGAATAACAAAAAGGAAATGTTTGCTACAAAAACAAATTACGAAAAGGTAAATACACCTGCGCAGAATGTGCACAAGATTTTAGTGAAACCATAGCGTCCTGGGACCCGTGCACGCCACTGAACGCAAGTTTGAGAGATCTCTTCCAGAACCGTTCACAGAACTGTGCTTTAGATTATTTTGCATATTTTAGCCATTTCAGCATTCTAATTGGAACTCGACTTAAACATTATGCGAATGTGGCGAACGGTCTAATCAGGAGACAGTTAAATTAAAACTAGGATTTAGTTTTCACATTAAGGTGCAGTAATTGGTAGGCTGAATTTTTGCCAGTAACAAAATTGAAATTGGGTGACAAACAGATCATAAAAGTACTGAGCAAAAATGCATTGGAATTTCAACGTTATCTAAAATAATCAAGTCTTCTTTGATGCTTCTTTTGCCTGGCAAGTGGTTGTGAATAGTAAAAAGTCTCGCTACCTTGCTTTCCAATGAAAATTTTGGAGACCCTTATTCGGCTGCTGCAGTATCATTTCTTAAATCTTCCTTAGGTAACACTGCATACAAAGGGCTCCCCAATTTTGATAAACAGGGCATGTATATCATGTTTTGTCCTGTTGTCTTACGATTAAAAACGTAGATTTTTTACCATTTTGGTATTTTTGGGAGTGATCTCCTCGTTTGCTGTTAGGTCCCGAATCATGATCTGCAGAAACCGGGGCGAAATGAGAACCTGATTTGTTTCACGAAACTGTAAAAACCACTTGATTTACTAGCTCCAAGCTGGCCAATGGGTACGTACCGAAAGTACCCTTCACTTATTTTAAATTAACTTATCTTCCCTATGAAATGAATTTTAGCGAAAACTCTTTCTTTCACACCAGGATGTCTGTGAAAATAAAGTTATCACTAATACCTTGTACGATGTAATTTTAGGAGGCTGAATTACGATCGATGACTACGAATTCATGAACGGTTGACGTACGACCTTTGGTAAAGGCTATGAGGAAGCATCATCATGATTGAGATAAACAGGGACGCAAATAATCTGGATGCACTTGATAAGTTACCAATAAAGCAAAAAAAATGGTCAACTCTAGATTCCTGGTCAGCCAATGTTGGTTTACAGCGATTGACGTGACACCATGACATTGCATTATCGATACCGTCTCTGAGTCGATCTATTCAATTCTATGAATAAACTTTCATAAACAAGTAGTTATAACTAGAACTCTGATCAGAAACTGGCATATGACATGAAAATATGACAGTACGATGTTGTTTTAAGCGAGGAAGGGCTAAACTATTCGGTAACTCTGGAGAAAGCTGATCTACCATGAAACGGAAACTTGATATCGTGCGCATAGTGATATGATATTCGAAAAATGACCTGGTTATTAAAAGTTGGCCATGTTCGGCTGAATTAGGAAACAGCACTAACGAACCAATCAAAATGCTTTCATGTCTCTTATTAACCGAGCTTGAGGTCCGTACTGTAAGTTACGGACCGATTTTTCTTTTTTAAACGCAGGCAATAAATATTCGCGGAAAAAGCGAGGTTCCGTAACGTACAGTGTAGACCGAGAAAGCGAGATGGGTAAAATATTTATCATATCTCTGGGTTCAAATGGTGTGAGAAAAATTCAATTGGAACAAACTTTTAAGTATAGCGGGCCTACAATGAAAACGGTCCACTAAATTGACCAATCATAACGCATGTACCAACCGTGTTTCCTGTGTGATAAAGGAACTAAATCTGATGACACGCTGAAGTTACAGATTCATATTTTAGCTAGCTAAATAAAAAGAGAAATTTCAATTTTTGATACAATGCACTACAGTGCAGATCAAGTTGAAGTGTCAATATGCAGCAACATCATAATTTGAATCAAGACCTGAATCTGAAAAGAAATGAGACTATGTGCTTTAAGAATAAGAAACCAGGTCGTGCACCCAACTGTCGAGTGAAAAACGAAATGTGGCGGGGAAATTGGATATTAAAAATCCTGAGAGACGTAACCGACCTTGGCACAACACACAAGAGGCCAGACCTTCACTGTCCACCGCCTGATATTTTCGATGATATCGCAACAGTTTTTTAAATATTTGGTTAAACCCCTCAATGGGTCAAATCAATGGTGCAAATGCTTTTCAGTGCTTTTCAAAAGATGGAAAATTTAATTCCAAAACACAGGAGTTTAGACCTTACATGTTTACAGTCCGATCCCATGTTTCGAAGCCATCAACAAGTCTTCCGATATTTTCAATTATGTCGATTTGTGAATCTACGCGAAAATGTCAATTCGACTGTGCAAATGCTTTTCAGTTTGATATCTCTTCAAAGTTTTAACTTAAGGACTCGCAGTAGCGGTCGAACTAAGTCTACAGTTCGCTTCTTAAATCCTCATTCTAACGGGACTACTATTTTTACGAGAGTAATTTGAAGATCCAGTAGTTAAAACAGTTATTTTCTATTGGAAATAAGCTATTTATTGGTGGCACGCTATTCTGAGAAATAACTAAATTTCGCTAAGTCGTTTTGTGAAAGAAGATCCATTGCTTAAATTCTTAAAAGTTACATCAAACAGGCTAAGGAAAATAGAATTATATGAGGCAACAAATTATTTTAATAATCGTATTCCTTAAATAAAAATTACCAAATCGATCCTATTAATCAAAAAGCAATTAAAGCTTTTTCTACAGTGAATAATTTACAATTTTACCGCGTTTCTTTTTTTTTTACCTTTTGTATCTCTTAACTCTCGGGGTTCATTTTTAAGCCAATGTGCTACTTTACCTTTTTCTATTGCATATTTTTCTTGATGGAGCCGTTCCACCCCTTTTGCGAAAAAAATACTTAGACTAATCACTTCATAAATCTCCTTTATAGCAATGATTCTGCCGTCAGTTTAACTAGTCCTCTTGAGAATCAGATTTTGCATGCGGTTAACAAATAACCTCCCTTGATCAGGAACATGAATGTTTTATCAAACAATAACTTAGGAATTAAGTTTATCGGATGATTAGAAAATGCGTTAGCAAAAAGTGCATGACTCATCATCAAGTTTCCAGTCTTTCTGCCATATTCTTCTCCTTGGCTAGCCGGCTGGATGTACGACCTGCGTTCTAATTTTAAATATCACGTTTCTCATTTCTTTCTGCCTCCAGCAGTAGATCAGCGGATTAACAAGCGAATTTAACATGGCAAATGTTTGCATCAACGGTATGTTGATAGGGCATGTATTAAAAAGGCGAGTGACTGTATTGACGAGACAGAAACCAAGTGGAAGGAGGTAACCGACAACTGCACCAACTATAAACAATGTTGTCTTAAGCGCCTTGCTCTCTTTAATAAATCTTTCCACTTCTTCTTGAGGCAGTTGCTGTGCTTTTATCTTCCTTTGGTGGCGTCGTGTTTCATGATACAAAATCACATAAGTGAGGGCAACGAAAAAAATACATGAACTTGTGATAAGGCTTCCGATAAACTGGAGTAATAAGTTCATTTTTAACACCGTGAAAACCCCACACATGAAAGCAGAGGACCAAATTGCTGATACTGCCATCTTCAGGTTGTCGTTAGTTATAAAGCTTTGATAGTGCATCGTAAATTTGATCGCTGCGAGCCTTTCAAAAGTAACCAACATTAAATGAAGGTGTGAAGCCATCAACAGTACAGTCGTAGAAGTCAAATAAAAAGTCATGACTGTTTGACTGCCACTAAGACGGAATAATAGGAATACCCTCCACAGGATATACGATGGCTGGCAAAAAAGACCAGTCAATGCGTCAGTCACCGCTAAACAGGCAAGCAAGATGTTGCTGTTGGTTCGGAGTCGTGGTGTTGTTTTCACGGCCTTTATCACCAGCACGTTAAGCAAAAGGGTGAGGGGACAAGCGATGCCATTAACGATGATGGTGATGATATAACTAACCTCCAGAGGGGCATTTACCGTACTAGTCATCTTTATATAGCTGGTAAATTGAACCCGAAAAAGTCTGATGCATATAGGTTGAATTCGATACCTAAAGTAGATTTGATGAACCCCCCGATCAACGCGTTGGATCTTACTCGTATCTTTTTTTTTCAAAGGCTTTTACGGACACGCTTACACTGGTGTGCATGTGTTTCCACTTGACTTTTTCTCGCGCATAATTGACAGAACTTTTCAATTATATACTTAATTTGTCTATTTGTTTTGTTAACCATACTAAGTTCAAAGCCTAATCAAGATCAAATCAAGACTTTATCGACGGCCACTTTCATGTTGAAATGCTTTCAACTGAGTCTCATATTTCGATTCATTCAAATTTAAATCTATTTCATATGAAATGATCGACCGCCACCTGCACGCTCATTTGCTTTCAGTTGACTTTTTCTCGCGGTTTAATGTGGTTGTTATTAAGAAAATATGTGTTTGGATAGATTAGAAGAAAGATAAAATTAGCAATTAAACCAAAAGGATCTGGAATGGGCAAATATGAAGAAGATCGTCAACTAAGATGAGTTTTCATGAATGGACACGCTCTACTCGAATGTGCATGCGTTTCCACTTGACTTTTTCTCACGCATTACAGAACTTTCCAACTATATACCTAATATTGTTGTTTATTTTGTTCACTATGCTGAGTTCAAAGCCTAATCAAGACCAAATCAAGATTTTATCGACGACAAATTTCATGTTCAAGAATTTTTACTCAACTTTTTATCGTGGTTGTATGAATTATTTATTAAAATTTGCTCTTAATTTGGTCAGAAATCACAAGATATAAGTTTGGGTAAATTAGAGGGATATAAAGGAGAAATGAATCTAAAAGAATTTGTATGGGCAAGTTTAGAGAAGATTTTTAACCGAGATGAATTGCGTGAATATTTAGGAAGACTCAACTCAATTCAGTTGTGCATTTTTTCGAGCTTTCCCTTGCCACAATTTAACAACTTCCATCATCTGAGAAATAGGTTTGGATTACGGTTGACACCGCTAATGGAGCTCAATGGTCGGTCAAAGAAAAGCTCTTCTTTGAAAGTGACAACAGCCAAGAAGGTCTTTTAAAATAACCAGAGGAAAGGAAATATTTTGACGAGCATTTCCGTCGCCTTCACAGTCATGGAGAATAGAAGTAAACATTGTCAACATGCACTTTATTTTCAACGAAAAAAAGAGGCGGGAGGGACTTCACTGATAACAAGCTTTTACGTGCCCAAGCCTAAGATAACTGTGCCGGTACTGATAAAGGGAGGCGTGATGTCCTACTTTCTCCGTCTGAAAATATCAATGTTCGAAGATATCGTCAATAAGTCAACTAATATGAATTGCATGAATGGACACGCTCTTCTCTGGGTGCATGCGTTTCCACTTGACTTTTTCTCACACATGAATCATAACAGTTTCCAATTGTAAGAAAATATATGTTTGAGAAGATTAGAAGAAAGATAAAAATAGCATATCAAACCGAAAGGATCTGGAATGGTCGAATGTTCTGGTCAGCGGGCATCGGTCAAGATGGCCGCAAGTTTTGAAGCTCTCAGTAAAAGAGGCTAAAACTCGCATTTTTTCATCTTTGGTTAACCTTTGAACTTCTTTAATTATTACATGTCAGTATTTAAGTGTTAATATGTCTAACAAGAGAGGGAAACAAAAAAATTCTACCTACACAGACGACTTCGAAGCATTTGTCAGAGAATCGCTCCTAAAATTGAGTGAAGGCCAAGACAGGATTCTCCACGATGTAGCCACCTTAAAAGGAAAAGTCCAACTTAACGAGTCGTCCTTGAACGACATCTCAGCAAGACTCACAAAAATTAACCATAACTACGAAGAAGTCAAGGGCGAACTCCATGATGCCAACTGCAAAATCGAAGAAATTGAAAGTACCATGCAAAATCAAGCCCAACAAATTGGAGCGATGCACGAGCGATTCCTGTCTATCGAGCGCTATTCGCGTGAATACAACCTGAGGTTCCACAACATCCCGGAGTCTCCTGGGGAGGATTGCCGTTAGAAAATCGGAGATATTTTAACTGAGTAACTTAAAATGGAGCCGAAGATAGAAATGCGCATCGCGTAGGCCCAAGCATCGCCGACAAGCCGAGGGCGATAATTTGTAAGTTTGTTTACCGTCCTGAACGATTTAAAGTGCTTCAGAAGAAACGTGACCTTCACAACATCGTCTGAAGATCGGGAGAAAAATAAGAAGTTAAAAGATGTCATGAAACAGGCACACTTAAGTGGAAAGAAGCCACGTTTTCATCGTGGGAAATTGTATATAGGCGGAGCTTTGTTCAAAAATTCATAGATGTCTTGATCATTGTCAGATTAGTTAGTAACTATAGAGCAATACGCGAGATTGGGAAATGTTTTAAATCTCCTGAATGATTAATAACTCAAATGATCCAGACCTAGATCTTCAATGTACCCCGCTTACTCAAGCCAATATTTCTTTCATTGTTTGCTCGGTGACCTCCGGGGAGTGATTTGGATTTCTACACCTTGTTGTATAGGAAGCACCCATGTATTCCATTTTTGGAAATTTACAGCTTCAAGCACTGGTAGGAGGCCAATTAATGAGTTCAGGAGTTTTATGTTCATCTGTAGTATTATTGTAATCAAAATAGTTCTCATGATTGGAAATGATTACGGAATCTTATCGAGGCAAACACCCAGCCATTAATTATGCTATCATTGATCAATTTACAGCTTGAAGCCCTGGCGGGAGGCTGATTAATAAGTTCAAGAGTTGTGTTTTCATCCGTATTATCATTATAATCAAAATAGTAATCATAATTGGAGATGATCAAGGAATCTTATCGAGGCAAACACCCAGCCGTTAGTTCTGACATCATTGATAGCTATACAGCTTCAAGCACCGATAGGGGGCCAATTTAAATACATGGAAAATACTTTAAAGATGAGACCTATGGCTTAAAATGAGCTTGTAGTTCGGATGTGAAGCAACAACATTAAGACAAAGTTAAAAAATAATTTCCGGTGTTTAAACTTGTCAACCTGTTAACAGACTGAAACTGCGTATTTTACAGATGGAGACTAACAAAATTCCCGTCGCATTATTAATGCAACTAACTCTGATTGTATTTACAACGAAATGCGCCAAAAACTTCAGAAGGGATGGCGAAAAAGGGGTAAATTACGCTCATTTTGTGAAGAACCCCTTTCAAGGACTAAATGCCACTGCTGTAGCCAGTTTGATGGTCATCCAACTCCGAGATTGTACATATCATTGTATCAATCATAAAGAATGTTACTCGATAAATTTCGCTCGAGTTTCTTTCGACAGAAGGCACAGATGTGAGCTGCTGAACACAGACAAGTTTCGAAGCTCGGATAAGTTAGTGTACACTGACAGCTTCAACCATTATCACATTCAGGTAAGTACTAATGTAAGCTGTAGCCCCACTGAATTGCATTCGCTTGAGTCAGACTGAGCTGACATTGAATTTCAAGGTCAAATTTTGAGCTTAAGTGAAGGACTCTACACATGTCCTTTTTCAAGGACATTCAAATCAATCAGAAAAAAGAACACATGAATTACTTTTCTTAGTCCTCTTATCGTGATAACCACAGAACAGTTGCAAAAGAGCTTAGACCTTTCTTAGATGCTCTATAGAGAAAGCCGCATATATTTGCTATGTAGAAAATTAATAATTTTTTTGTGGTTGTTTCTTTTTTACTCAAGTTTAACTTTATTTCACAGAGCCCCTGCATGAGCAATCCTTGTCAAAATGGAGATCATTTGTGTCGCCCGATTTACAGTCAGGATGATTATCAGTGTATTTGCAAACCAGGTTTTACTGGAGAGAACTGTGATGAAGGTTTGTATTAATATTACTTTACAAGTCATCAAGATTCGATTCAATCATTTAAGATTTTCAGAAACTAATCATTTCTTTCATAGTTTAGTTAGCACAAGGTATAAAAAATGTTTTCAAAACAAGTGCATATAACTAGTGTGCGAAGGCAACATGCCTTCTTCCTCGTATAAATATCACGATAGCAATGAGAAAAAAGTCGATCCAAATAATAAGAAAACCTTTAAAATTGTAATACAGGAGACTCCTCTTATCTCCGCCTGGCATGATAGCGATTGGGAAAGCACTGTGAAACTAGTGTGTGCAATAACTTACCAGGCTCTGAAAAGAAGTAATAACGACTCTTCACAGTTTTATGTCCTTTCCAAGAAGGTTCGAATCAAGAGGAAAATTGTATTTCTCTTCTTTTGTTGTATTTTTGGTACCAATAATCAAACCATTTGACATATTTTCAATTTACCCAGACATAGACGAGTGCACCAGTAATCCTTGTTTACATGGAGGAACATGTATTGATCAGGTCAATAAATATGTATGTAACTGCCCGGCTGGAACCGAAGGAGACCGCTGTGACACTAGTAAGTATTCAAATTTTAATCAATTCGATATCTCCAGACTTTTTTAACTCAGCCTCTTATTATCTTACCCAAAAAGCATGTCTCTGATACTAAATTAATTCTACAAATGCCATTCTCGCATTCGACACAGATGTCAACGAGTGCTGGAGCAACCCCTGTTTAAACGGGGCGACCTGCGTGGACCGAATCAATGGATACGTTTGCAACTGTAAGGAAGGATACACTGGTGCACACTGTGAAAGTGGCAAGTACACTTTTTCCTCATAAAAGACATTGATTTTGCTGAGGCTATAGTTAGTTTTCAAAGGAACTGCTCATATTATTTTAAAAAAAAAAAGGATTATGTTGACTCATCCTCATGTAAGATTATTTATAACAACCTCGCCCTACGTAGCAGGTGACGCCTCCATCCGATTGCCGCCGCAACTGGCTTTGTATGATTTTGGAATAATTGCTACTCAGGCTTTGAATGCGGCTGCACGTCTTGAATTACTGTTTTCACTTTTTCGAAGTAATTTTCTAGTTTTTGCTCTCGTTGAAGGAGGCTGTTTATTCGCAG